AAGTTGTGCCACATTACTGAAAACTAGATATGTACCGAAGTTTTATCACTAATTCAATCTTTGCATCAATTATATAATTTATGGTGAGTAAACGACATCCTATAGACCAATTGTGAATGTAATTAAGAACAAAGGTCAAACGAGGCGGCTATGGAACTTTCCTCCTTATTTGTTTAAAATCTTGCTGATGTTGAAATATCCAAGAAGTATGATCTGCACTACCGACCGCTTTTGCCTGTGTCATAATTAAATGTGACTGTACTAATGCATTGTCGCATTTGACTCTTTTTGAAGCAATAAATCACATACAACATTATCCATATCTTCAAGACTGATTCATGCCGTCATGGCTTACGATTTTTCATTATTGGTATACGCCAGAATTTTTAAATGACTTCATATTATCATATTCGATTTATAAATTATAAAGGAAAATGAAAAAAAATCCATTTCTTTGGTTATTCTCATAATTTGAGTTGCTGTGGCAAATTTTTAGTCCCTAGTATGTATTAAATATTTGCTGCATAGGAGTTTTTTTTTTTTCTTTTAAGCACGACAGATATTACTATGAAACGCAAGCGAGCTGGGGAGAAGAGAGAGTTGCGGATCTTCACTCCGACCGCTCTGACGACAAGTCATCGTAGCCACCAGAGCCTCGTCTCCCCCCGCTGACGTACACCCCACCAATAGCACCTCATACTAGGGGTGAGCAACGGTGCAGTTCGGTAAAAAAACCGCACCGAATCGAACCTAGCAAAAAATATAAGCGAACTGCACCGCAGCCTAGGAAAAAACCGAACCAAAACCGAACCGAATTTTTTTTACACTAAAATAACCGAATAGCACCGCAATGCACGGTTCGGCTCGGTTTTTGGTTTTTCTATACATTTAATTCAATTTGGTGCGGTTCGTTGCGGAACAAAAACTAAAACTAACTTATGAAAACTATAACCACACCGCAACGTTGAAAAAAACCGAACCGTACCGAATTGAATTTTTTTACATTAAAAAAACGGAACCATACCGAACCGCACCGAATTGCACGGTTCGGTTTGGTTTTTCGGTTTCGCCTCGGTTTTGCTCACCTCTACTGCACACCCGGGAAGCCAACGGCCAGCCCACGGACCGCGCCATAACCGACAAAGCAAGCCTAGAGGAAACCGCGACTAACACCGGCGCATCACCACCAGAGACACACACAACATCCTGGGGAGGTGCCGAGCGATCAAGGGCGACCACTGGCCAAGCACGATGCCGCTGAGGAAGGCAAATCAACGACGAATTGGAGGTGTGGCTCCGACGAGAAGGGGATCTAGGCTTTCGGATCCGCGAGAGAAGGGGATTTTTTATTTCCACATAAATGCTAATTAATATAGTTTATATCTATTTAAGATATAAAAAATAAGTATCTATTCAATTCGGTTGAGTTACTTATAATTTTAGAATATTTGAATATGTTCATAATACCTAAGATCATATATTCACATAGATTTAATGTTTTATTAAAACTTAATCACAGCACATTTATTTTTATTTCTTCTTTTATTCTTTCTTTTTTATAGTTAATATGATATGAAAAATAGAACAAATAAATCAAAACCATATCTATTTTATTAGAGTTCGAATTTTCATTTTTAGGTTTAAAAAAAAGAGCCTTAACCAAACTTGTGATTCATTTTTTTTTTCTACTTTTTTCAAGGATAATTTTATTTTTGTACAAGATTAAAGATACATATATACTAAAATGAAAAAATAATAACAAATTTGCATTATAATGAGAAGATAAAATAATGATTCTAATTAATAATTTGAATTTTCCGTATATTCTTTTTTTTTTTTCTCGAAACGATAGATTTTATAAATAAACAAAGAAATACAACTAGAACACAACTAGAAAAGTCAAGCAACTATCTAGCTGAATCTAGTGGGAGAACTCCGGATTTGGAGCCTAGAAAGACTACACAAAGTCACAAACTACTCACAACATAACACAAACTCACCCGCAAGTCATACCTAAGACTATCCTTATCCCCAATGACGGAGCCAAAGAAGGCACAGGGGGCCCGCGGGCCCCCCTCATTTTTTTAGAAAAGCATATATATATATAATGAAAATTTATAAACTATGTAATGAAAAATACAACAATTATATACAATATATTAGTAATTAAAACTTGTTTACTATGATATTTTAATTTAAATTGATAATATTATTTTATATTAAAAAATATATTAACTTATATTTTACATTTCTAGATAAGTTTTTGAAAATATTTATAATAATTTACACTTCGATCTCTTAATTGTAAATAAATTTAATGTTATAAAACAGAGTATTTAGTTCGACTAGTTGTCATCCTGTGCACATGCACAAATAACATAAAAAAACTATAATTATTTTATATGAAAATAACAATTAAAATAAAAATTAAATTAATAATGTTTATCATAATTATAATTTCATTGTTACATTACTTACTCTTAGCTGACATTTTAGATTTCAATAAAATGTATCATGAGGAATTTATCATATGCTAATAATTATTATATGGATATAATAAATAATATAATTTTATATATACTTTGAGTATCATAATGATACGAATCATAAAAGTATCACAAAGTAAAAATAATAATATAAATTTGAAATGCTAATCTTTTTAAGATATTTATGGTTTTAATTGTATTAAGAATAAAATAAAATACATGTACAATTTGGATTATTTCATCTAATAAATTTTCACTTATAATTTTGATACATATACGTTAAGTACTTTTATTACAAAAAAGTTGGTCATTATAAAATATCTCAACTAACTTGTAAGACACAAGTTTTTTAGCACTTAGATGACAACAAAATTGAAAAACCATTGCATTCATTAATATACTACTTTGTAGAATTTGTGTCCATATCAACACTTACAAATTTATTTTAAAATAAAATCTAAAAAAAGTAAAAATACTAATAAAAGTTAATATAAAATCTACATTGCCAAGCTGAAAATTTAAATAGATTTTTTTTAAGATATAGAATCGCATCAAAATAATAAAGGAATTCCTACAAATAGGAAAATGCAAAATAATTAATAGGATTACGACTTGTTTTTATAATTTATTTAATAAGACTAATTTGAAATCAATATATTACTTCTGAATAGTTATTTTGAAACTCGATTGTACTATCCAAGATGATTAAAATTAAGTATGAATAATATGTAAGTCCAAAATTAAAATTATTTTTCAACCAAAAGAAAAGATACATAATAGTCATATTGTACGATTATACCAAAATATAATATCACTTATTATTTATGAAAATAACAAATCACATGCTTAAGTTTATTTCTGAAACATAACCGTTACAATTTTATGAATATTATATTATTTATTACAAATTTAATGATATAACCATAAACAAAAACAAAAGGAAATTCAAAAGAAAATTAAAACTTACTAAAAAGAGCTAAAAAATTTAGGCGGGAAAATTTTACTTTTATAATAAATGAATAGCCTACAATTATATA